AAAATCACCCACACAATAAGTATAACATTATTCAAGAAAAAAAATGTACCAACTATAAAATCTGAAAATTAAAAGCAAATCTTATAGAAATTTTGAAATATGAAATCATAGAAATTACAAGACATAAATGCATAAGTAATATTATAACCATATATATCCTCTAGAAGAAGAAGAAACTTATAATGAAAAATTGTTATTGGCTATATTGCAAATAAATATGCACATTTTCTCAATGGTCTCTATCCTCTATATTTATGCACTTGATAAATATATATTTTATACCATTGAACCGCGACCGAAGAGATTGGAGATTTATTTTATAAAAACACACTTAGATTAAATAAGAATGCAATAAATTTTTAGAAATTAATATAATAGTTAGATGTAACAACTCAAATTTTTAATTATTCTTCAAAATTTACACTAATATTATTTTATCACAATTGAAAAAATATACGATTTATTTTATATTATTATGTGTAATTGTGTAAAGTAATATAATTATCATTGTGTAAAGTAACATAATTACTAAGAAATTTAGAAGTCAAAGGGTAATTATGGGAAGTGGATTTGCCACCTCTAATTTGGAGAAGACATCTGGCAAGCCAAATGTCTCTCGAGCGTTAGTTATTCACCTATATATAGGTGTGGTGTTGATTCATAAAGAATAAACAAAAATAAATGAATGAATGAAACAGAATTCGAGTGGAAAGGAGAAGAAAGAGGGAGGGAGTCTGGGAGAGGGAGGGTTGGGTGGATGGTCGGGTGGAGGTCTGAGGGAATGACCAAGAGCCCAATAGGTCTAATAAAGGTGAGCTATATTATATTTTAAATTATTATAATTTATTTTATATAATTTGTGTTTTATAAATTATATTAATATTTCGATTATGTTGATTATTTTCTAAACCTCTTCATTTAAATTGAAATTCATGGATATATTTTTAACAATTATTTGACAATGATTTTATAAATAATTATTTTCAGTAAGTACCACCACGGGAGTTCCATACCTTGGAGACTTAAATAATCATTGGTCCCTATTTGGCCACTTTATGGTCCTCTGTTTGTCATGGATCCATTGACTCATGTTCTAGGTCTCGTTTGGGAATAGGCTAACTTTTTGGCTATTTGACTAAAATATGAGCTAAAAAAAATAGTATATTTAGGATGACTTTTTGGCTTCTTATGAAAAGATATGTAAAAAGTAAAGAGAAAATAAAATCTTTGACTTTTTAGTATGGATTGTTGGCTTTTTGGCTAAACCGGTCGCTGCCCAAACAAGGCCTAATTGTCACTCCAGTGACCCTTGTTCTGTTATGTTCTGTACCGTGGTTATGATTATTTTGTATTATATGTCAAATAATTTCCGTATTATATATTCTGTATTTTAATATCAAGCCTTGTTTAGCCAATAATTATCCATGGTGATTTTTGTACCCTTATGCTCTTAGTATAATATTTATCATTCTGTCATGTGCTTATAGTTGTTTATCACTTTCAGGTGACATGTCAGGGTCAGCGCGTGGGGTATGCACAAAGTATCTTGTAGACATAATTCAGCTCTAACAATTTAATAAAATAGAAGCTCCAATGGTTATTTTGGTACCCTCACATAAACAATTTTTTCCGCTCACGTATAGTAATTTGTTTAAGAATTAGCCAGTGATAACTTCAGTTACTAGCTATCACGATACTTAACCCTTGGGTATGGGGAGCAGATCGTGACCAGTGGTATCAGAGTCAGGTTTTTAAAATTATTTTTATCAAAGCATTAGAGCATAAGACACATGAACAAATAGGATGAGGGAAACGTTGAGCTAGATTACAGGTTGTATTTAAATTAAATATTTATGTAGCAACAATTATGGTATATATAATTATGGTATTTTAGTAAATTTTGTAATTAATATGAGTTATTTGTTACTCTATATATAATTGTATATATTTTTCATGTATATGTTGAATAATTTGAAGACAAAAAAAATTACAAAAAGGTATATTAAATCTTTAAATTGAAAAAAAAAAAAATCATTTAACTTTTATAGTCTTAGAGTACCATATGGTGTTACCTATGTGATGCTCAAGGTATGAGAAATCACAAATCACAAATCACACTAATTAGTTTGTCAACTACCTAAAAATAATCACAAATCCATAAGATTTCACACTACACTATTGGTTTAGACTACCACATAAACAATACCACATAGTACTCTCAAAATATCAAATAACTACTAATTGTGAACAATACAATAAATCCTTAGCCAAAGAACATGTTAAGAAAAGAAAAAAAAAAAGAAAAAAAAAAAGAGAATACATTTTGTATATGACTACAAAACAAAAACAAAAAAAAGTTCAAAATTGAGGGGGGTACGTGACCTCCTGAACCTTCTTTGGCTTCGCTCCTGATTGTAACAACCTAGATTTTTAATTATTCTTTAAAATTTATACTAATATTATTTAATCACAGTTAAAAAAATATATTATATATTTTATATTGTTATGTGTAATTGTGTAAAGTAATATAATTATCATTATGTAGAGTAATAGTAATATAATTATCATTATGTAGAGTAATAGTAATATAATTATCATTATGTAGAGTAATATAATTATCAAGAAATTTAAGAATCAAAGTGTAATTATGGGAAGTGGATTTGCCACCTCTAATTTGGAGAAGACGGCGAGCCAAATGTCTCTCATGCGTTAGTTTTCCACCTATATATGTAGGTGTGGTGTTGATTCATAAAGAATAAACAAAAATAAATAAATGAATGAAACAGAAAACGAGGGGAAAGGAGAAGAAAGAGAGCGCGCGAGTAGGAGAGCGAGGGTTGAGTGGATGGTCAGGTAGAGGTACGAGGGAATGATCAAGAGGCCAATACGTCCAATAAAGGTGAGTTATATTATATTTTAAATTATCATAATTTATTTTTTATAATTTATGTTTTATAAATTATATTAATATTTCGATTACGTTGATTATTTTTTGAACTCTCTTTACTTAAATTGAAATCTATGGATATATTTGTTTAACTTTTAATAATTATTTGATAATGATTTTATAAACAATTATTTTCAGTAAGTACCACCACGGAGTCCATTGCCTTGGGACTTAAATAACCATTAGTCCCTGTTTAGCCACTTTGTGGTCTTCTGTTTGTCATGGATCCATTGACTTCTGTTCTAATGGTCACTTCAGTAACCCTTGTTCTGTTCTGTTTCTGTACCGTGGTTATGATTATTTTATATTATATGTCAAATGATTTCCTTATTATATATTCTGTATTTTAATATCAAGCCTTGTTTAACTAATAATTATCCATGGTGATTTTTGTACCTTTATGTTCTTAGTATAATATTTCTCAATCTGCCATGTATTTACAGTTGTTTACCACTTTCAGGTAATATGTCATGACCAACGCGTGGGGTATGCACAGAGTACCTTGTAGACATAATTTAGCTCTGACAATTTAATAAAATAGAAGCTCCCATGATTATTTCGGTACCCTCCCTTAAATATTTTTTTCCACTCGCATTTATTAATTTGTTTAAGAATTGGCCGAAGATAACTTTAGTTACTGGCCACTATGATGTTTAACCCTTGGGTACGGGGAGCGGGTTGTGACATTAGATGCATAATAGAAATAAGAATGCAGGAGACTAAAGATTAAAAATTGATTTTCATAAAAAAACACAAACTTACAGCAAACAAATTTATCAATTGAATTATTCACAATCACACCCACCACCAACAATTACAACACTTTAATGAATACCGACTCTAATTTGACTTGAATCCAATAGTGCAAGAGAAAAAAATTTATGGGAGATGTACATTTCTTCTCGTAATTTGTGATTCACAATTTTAAAATTAGTTTAATGTTATTTCTTTTTAAAAGTCATAAATTATGAAAAAATTAAATTTTTTTTTTTTAATGTGTAGATGGCACACTTTTGAATTTTGAAATGGGTTAGTATATTTTCCTTTTAAATTTTATAAATCATTAGATAGTTATATTTTTATTGTTGAAAAAGTGTTACCCAATAGAATTTTTATTAATTTTTAATAATAAATAAAAATTAATCAAGAAATTTAGTACGTGGGTTTGGAAATAAATACAAATAAAAATAATTTTGATTTTTTTAAATGTAATTTTAAAAGCTTACTATATTCAATTTTGAAAGAAACATTATTATAAATTTTAAAAAAAAAATTCTATATTAGTTGTAGCATAAATAATGTGACCATTTGAAAGGTTTTTATAAATTTTAGATTCTATTGAATTGTTTATCACATTTAAGGCCAAAACTTTTAATTTTTGAAATGAAAAAATATATTTATTTTTAAAAATTATAAATTATGAATAATTATTTTTTTTTTATGATTATAATTATATTTTAGTGAATTGGTTCCATATTAGTGGTATAAAATTTTAAATTTTGAAATAATTTAAGCATATGTTCCTTAGAAGTTATAATTTATAGAATAACTAAAATTTAATTGTTATGGATAAAATTAGAGTTAATCAAAAAACATTATTTTTTAAAAATAAAAAATAATTAGATTTTAGTAAATCCTTCCATATAGTAGAACAATAAATTTAAATTTTAAAATAATTAAACATACTTTACTTTTAAAAATCGTAATTTATGGTATAATTAGAGTTTTATTATTATAATTAAATGAGAATTTAACCAATAGAATGTTTTTATTATTTAAAAATCAAAAAATTATAAAATTTAGTTTGAAATTTTATAATTCCAATAAGCCTTGTTATTAAAAATACCATTTTATTTATATAATATATAATATATAGATAGATAGATAGATGCGGGCATGGAGACCAAAGCAACAAAAAAAGAAAAAAGAAAAAAAGGAATAGTACGCAAGCACTTATAAATGAAGGGTTTCAAAATGCTAGAAGACTGTTTAAAAAAAAAAATGCTAGAAGACGCAACAAGACGGACAAGGGAAAAAAAAAAAAGAAACGAAATGAAAACTAGACAATATAAAAAATCACTTTCCAACACTAGAAGCCCAAATCATTGACAGCATACATTTAATTAAAAAAAAAAAAATACTACTGAAAATGAACCTAAAGAGATGGCAAATGAAAATGCAATTTAGAAGTGCTCAATAAAATACTACACTTCAAGGAAAATATATTTGTCCCTTGCGCATGAAAACCACACATTCTGCTTCCAAATTACCTGCATGTGAAATGTCAAGCCTAAATAATCAGGTATTAGTTTGAACTGATCAAACATTCTTATTCTTGGTATAAAATATGGAAGCGAAGAGGCAAAGAGAGTACTCATTTAAATGACTCAACTGAAACAATAGACAATTGAATACAAACAAATTTGCTTTACGCTGTGTCTGGTTGGAGATTTGGAAAGGAATTTGAAAAGGAAAAAAAAAAAGAAAAGATGTGTGAAACTAAATGAAATATAAGCATATGTTATGCACATTTTATATACATTTTCTTTTTCTATTTTCAAATTTATTCTCAAATCCACTAACCAAACACAACGTTAAAAGAACAAATATGAGTACCCAATTAATCAATCGAAATTTGCCAAACAAAGAATGGTCAAGGTTCACTCTGTGATCTTTCCCAACCAAAAATAAAATAAAATAAATGGAATCAATTTGGACCATTTTTCACTTAATCGTTTTCTTCGATAAACCATGGTTTATGTAACTGAACAGCCATTTTGCCCTAGCAAAGATAATAAGTTTGCCAAGTTTGCCTCATCCCCCACCAAACTCATGAAGCAAACATGGACTGTAAGATTTTAGACACGACTACTTCTTGTAATTAAAGATGATCATAAGAGCACTTTGTGGAAGTAAACCAAATTTTATACATTTTTAAAATGTACGCATGCAAGAAACCAAATGAATTGCCTTAGGTTGTGTTTGGTATATGGATTTGGGGAGGAATTTAAAAAAGAAAACGAAAAAAAAAAAAGAAAAAAGAGTGAAACTAGGTGAAATGTAAATATATTTTATTCACATTTCACCGTCCTTTTCCCTTTCCCTTTCCAATTTCAAATCTCTCCCCATATCCTTGAACCAAACATAGCCGTCCTTTTTTCTTTCTTTTTCCAAATCCCTCTCCAAATCCTTGAATCAAACACAGTCTTAGGGAATCAAAAGAAAAGACATCATCAAATAATGAATAAAGATAAACATATCCTTGGTAGAATGCACAATTGTCAACCTACTAAAGGAATAATTATATGACAGATTGCACAATAAAACTGCATCTCACCCCTTTTGTCTTCCCCCAATTCTCCCCTAGTAAAGCTCCTGCACAATTCTTTTATTTGAGGGAAGTGTTAAAAAGATTATCAGAGTGGCCCTCAATGTTAAACCGTACTTCCCCCAATTGGAAAATTATACTCTAAGAACTTGGAGCATTTTGGCACATGGAATTGGAATTATACTATAAGAACTTGGAACATTTTGGCACATGGAATTGGAACGAGACGGAGAACGTAGTACACCACATTCTCTAAAATGTGATACGGTAGGGTATACTTGTTTAGATTATACTATTCAGCTTGCTTGTTTTTGGTTTTTCAAAAACACTTTTTAAAAAATTCTACTTTCTTGTTTTCTATTTTTTTTTTATGGAATTTTTTAATATTTTAAGCATTTTTTTTTAAAAATTTTTAGATACATCTAATATAAATACACATAAAAAGTATAATTTTTGTGAAAAAAAATATTTTAAAAATTCACTAAATACCAAAAAAATATATATACGAGAATTCAGTATATTTTTCGTATTTTTATGTATTTATTAATTTTTTAAAATATCTTTTCACAAATTTTTTTTACTTTTTAAATACATCTAAATAAAGCGCATCTAAAAAGTTATAAAAAAAAATGCTTAAAATTTTAAAAATATTCACTAAAAACAAAAAAACACAAAAAACAAAAAACTTAGGCTCTGTTTGGTTATGATTTGTAAACGTATTTCTACACGTGCGTTTGAGTATGATGTTTGGTTGTTGTTTTGGAATCAATTTTCACGAGCTCTGCAAAGAACTTTGTGCATCAGCCGCTGTTTTTGTGAAAATTTTGCCCAAGGAAAGACCGCCCGGACGTCCTTAGGGACATCCACCCCGATATCCTCCGCTGTATAGATATTTTTTTTTTTTTTTTTTTTGCAATTGATTTATATAATTGAAAAAAATATTTTCTGAAATTTTTTTAATTTTTAATGTGCTTTAAAATAATTTTGAGTTGTATGTTTAGTTATGAGCTGTAAATTTTTGTATCACATATCAAATATCACATCAACAATTCCCCACTCAAATCAAACCTCTTTTCCAAAACTATTTTCAAAACTCTTTACCAAACAAATTTTCTACGCTCAAATCATAATTCTACAACACACAAACTCAAAATACAACTCATACTCTCAAATCACATTTACAAAGCACAACCAAACGCAGGCTTAGTTTTCAAAAAACTCAAACCAAACACACACATTAGAATTTAAGATACTTCTAGAACAATTTTCTTTTAACAATTAGACATCCTTCAAGATGCACCTTTTCTTTTTCCAATTAATCATGTTATAACACATTACTATAAATATTATGACTCATTTTTTTTCATGTTTTGTAACACCAAAACTCTACTCTCCGTAGATTTCAATTTATTATATTTGATTTCTTTCTCTCCTATGAAAACTTTTTACTTTGGATCACCTAATTCACCATTTTGGAACAAACGTGTATCATGTTTCAAAATGTGCATTCCAAAATGTAAATCAATAGGGTATTAGTATTTTACGGTAACACTAGCTCTACCTTCCATATGTAACAGTCTAAATGGTTATCAGACATGTAATCATGCAAGTTATGTGAACTAGGATAAAACAAAATACTTACAGTATATGAATAATCCAAGTTATCACATATAGAATAGTTTGTCCCAAATTTACGGGGAGGAAAAAAATTTGTCTACATACAAGGGCCACATTTTCTGTTCTACATTGTTAGCCATACTGCTCTCACTGCTTCAAACTAAATACTTTTGACATTCTTTTCTTTCTTATAGCACGTAGAATGTAAACTATATTGTTTTCTATCATGTATTGGCTCTCATTGTGCATGACTGGATCATCGTAGCCTACTCATATAATCTTTACAACAATTGAAGCGACTGTTTTGTTCTAACAAAAGCATATTCCCTTGTCTATTTCAACATCTGTAATTTTCTTGAACTAACTATCAGTCCTATACCGACATGTTTCTGCAAGCACAGCAAATTCTTTAATTTTTTCCCCCAGGAGAAGATCCATATCTAAAATTACAAAGCTCTCCATCCAATATGATGGCATGCACCAATCCTAGAACATCTAGGGCACCTTCCTAGCCTCCACATTTATCCCATTCTCCTTATTTGGACAATGAAATTGTCAATTTTGCAATCCAAATGAATGATGAACTATGTTACATAAACTCGGGTATGGGTATCGGATGTAGGTATGTATCTAGATGTAAGACTTATCGAACCATAAATTTAAGGGTACGCAAATTTGACCAAAAAATGTCATATTTTTATATTTTTAATCAAGTATATGAGATGAAATGGTACTATATGTAACTTACAATGTCAAAAAGATATATATATATATACATATAATAATAGTTATATACAATTATTTAAGAAGTGTCCATTGAGAAGTATCTGACATATATTACATACCCTTGTCCGAGTGTCGGGTGTCCGACACGGGTATTTGATTTATTTTTAAGAGTCCGTGTAACATAGATAATGAAACCCAAAGGATGTGTGGCAATGTGAAGTTATGCAACTGTGACTGAGCATAAACTTGTCAGCCATTGGAAAAAAGAAATTTAGACAAATAACAAATAGTAACAAATTCGATAGAGAACACCAAATTATTCAAGTTCTTGAGCTAATGTCTGCTCCAGTCCAACAGAAAATTGAACTAAACTAAAAATAAAATATTAAATTGCTTAGTGTTGCATCTAATTCCTGCCTTGATTTCTTTTTTCTTTTTAATTTTTAAGGAAGAAATTGAATGCCCCTTGTATTATCACGTTTTAATCAATTGAAATGGAATTCATGATAATGGCTTATGCTACAGATGTGTAAAGAAGACTACAAATAACAACAATGTCCAAAATTCAATGAAGAAATAACCAACACTTCACTATTACAATCTAGCACAAAAAAAGCAATCATCTACAAAATGACCACCAAAGGCCCATATTCCAGGTTTCCCTAAGTCCCCAGCATATGGGCAACTACTTAACTTAGATGCAGTTTCCATGTCAAATGCTACTACAAAAAGGAGAAAAAAAAAAGGTCCACCGGAAGTCCCTACAAAGGCCGTCTTTACTACCTATTAAATTGATAAGATTCAATAAGGAGCACATACGAATAATAATCTATTAATCATAGTGGACTAAGTACTCTGTAACCTTGGTTTTTTTGATTTTTTTTTTTTTTTAAATTTTCTAATCTATACCATAAGTGCACCAAATATCAAATTGCTTCAGCATAAAAATTCAAAGAAACCGGAGTTTTCAACTCACTCCTTGACCACGTGGTTTAGTGGTATCTGGTTGGCAGTATTATTAGCTCAGTTGTTGAGGTATTCAGTTCAATTCCCTTAGGGTGGATGACATTGTGATGGTTGTGATTGTTGAACTTGTTGTATGCTTGTATCTCTGTGTTATTAGACTTTCTTACATAGTCGAATGTTCAATTTGATGTAATTCTCATAATATTTGTAAATTATCTATCACCTACTAAGTAAAAAAGAAAAATCCTAGATTGTGCGGAATTTGTTCTTATAAAATCAACCTTTTTACTAACCTTCCCTTCATGTTCTTTTTTAGGAGATTATTTACACTACGAAGAGAATTATCTCTGGACAATCATAGTCCAAACAACTAACCCAACAAAGAAACCCCGTAATGGTAAAGAAACAACCAACCCAACAACCAATCAACCTAAGAAAAAGTCCCATAAGGAGAATAAATGAACAATATACAACGAAGAGCTCCATAACAGAGAAGAAATTATCAATCTTTGCGTTAGCAAGGATTGAAGTGTAGCCCAGTTGGCTTCCCATCATGTTCTCACCATCATTGCTTATTTAGTTAACCAATGACCCTCCATAGACAAACCATTCAATGTGATATATATTATCTTCGGAATCACGAGTTGGAAGTAGGTCACTCATCAAGTATTTCTTCCTCAAATTATCATGCTTTTAAGGCTAAAACATAAACATTGAACATTTGGGTCACCTTAGATCACTAAAACAGGGGAAAAAATTCACAGTTAATACCTCTTTAACACATACCACAATTATAGTCTAGAAATACTGCACTTTTGGAATTCTTATCAACAAAAGATCGGTAAATGGCACAGATACCAGAATTATATTGATCATCAATCTAAGAACGAGTAAAAATTTCGAGAGAGAGAGAGAGAGAGAGAGGATTTGACTTACGCATCATTTGGCTACCATCCTAGCAATGAAGTCCTCATACCGGATCTTCCCATCGGATCCGACATCCACCTCTCGGATCCACTCATCGAACTCAGCCGGGTCAAGCTTCTCCCCAATACTGGTGAGAATGTGCCTGAGATCCGAAACGACGACGAAGCCAGTCCCGTCCTTGTCGAGGACCTTGAAGGCGTCGCGAAGCTGGCGATCGAAGGGCTCGGGCTTGAGGTGCTTGGACATGAGGTCGAGGAATCGAGGAAAATCGAACGGCGAGTTTAGGTTTTCCTCGGAGACGATGGATTTGAGCTGAGCTTGGGTAGGGTTTCCGCCGAGAGATCGCATCAGGATTCCAAGCTCCGTCGGAGCGATCTTGCCGTCGCCGTCAGTGTCGAAGAGAGTGAATGCCTCTTTCATGGAAGAGACTTGGTCGTCGCTCAGATCCCTCCCCATTGTTGCTGCTTTGCTTTCTCTCTCCTCAACCTCTGTTTCTCTCTCTATATGTATCGGTTTCTCTCTGTATATTTTCCTTCTGTGAATCAGAGCATGTATTTTTTATTTTATTTTTTTTAAAAGTAAAAATATCACGTGTTTTAACAGATTTTATTCAAACATCAATCGATGGGATGAACGACCAGATATATGTCTGATCGATAGATTAGTCCGGACTTGTTCGGAACAGGTTAATTTAATAATTTTTTTACTATTTAATTAAAATATGAATTAAAAAAATTAATATATTTAGAATAATTTTTTAGTTTTTTATGAAAAGATGTGCAAAAAGTAGAGAGAAAAGAGAATCTTTGACTTTTTTGTATGAGTTATTGATTTTTTGGCTAATTTAGTAACCTTTTGACTTTTTAACTAAAATAGAGGGTTTCCAAACGAGGCCTCAGTATAATTTTTGCATAAATTTTTATAAGAAGATGATTATTTGGGTAGCAATTGCCTAGACATTTAGCCGGTCGTGTGAGGATAAAAATTATTTATAATTTCAATGATTGTGAACAGTGAAATGATAAAAAGTTTAAAACGTCCTTAATTTAATGAAAGATTTATTATTTTTTTAATTTGACACTCATTTGATAAAACGATTGAACAAGTAAAAAATATATTTTTTTTGTCAAATTTAAATTTGATGAAACAATAGACGAGAAGCTGGAGATGGTCGGAAAGGAGTAAAATGAATGAAAATGCGTTTGATTTGTATTTCATAATAATCTAGGTCCTAAAGAGTAAATATAGGAAAATGGGTTTGATTATAATTAACAATAGTTTAGGGGCCATTTCAATTATTTGCTATTTTCAGCAGAGTGCTGCGGCCCAGGTTTTTACAAGGCACGAATAGTTCGGCCCATAGGGCCCAATCACATTTTGATACGACCCAAAATATTTGTTATTTTTATATGAACTAATTCAATTTATTTAATATTTTTGTAAGGCGTTAAACAAAGGTCAAGTTTGGACAGATATGTGTTTGGAATTAGATTAATAGTCTAATAAAATTATTAATCTGATATTTAATTAACAAATTAAAGTATAGATTAACAATCTATCCGGATATGGTGTCTCACATATGATGGACTATTCAATCCCACGTAGAAGGTGTGATATAAATTGGGGGACTAAGTTAAAATCTGAACTAACTTATCAAATGACCATAATAGATATATTATGGTCAATATATTGAATGTCTCATGTCTTGTCATATCCTGTCTATTCTAATCCCCTTAAACAAATATCGGATTTGATAATATTTTGTTAATCTCTTCTTATAATTCTAACTCAATCCAAACATAGGATATGACACACAATCCAAAGGGATTCGTAGTTATAGGACTATTAGTCATGGAAATGCTAATCCAACCTAATCCAGTCTACCCAAACAAACATGGCCAAAAGGTGCTTGCAGGTGAGTTATATATCATTCACCATCCAAACAAATGGGATTTAGGTTGGGAAAATTTCATTTAGAGTCAATCCATCTTCGATTTGCAAAATCAACTGAAGAAGTTGAGCGGATTGATGTGTGGATGTAAAAGTTAACAAATTGAACAAATTCTATTTTACAAAAAAAAAAAAAAAAAAAAAAAAGAGCTTAATTTCATACAATTGTGTCGAGTTTTATGGATTGAATCTTGTATATCTGTCACTTGATCGAAACCTAATTTTTTGAAATTACTAAACCCACATCCATCTATCCTATTACATCGAAACATTCATTTAAAATCGAGTTGAGCAGGTTGGCTAGATGTTTACTAAATCCTATATTAAGTGGATGTTTGGCATCTCTTAAAAAAGTCAAAAAGTCACTAAAAAAACAAAAAAGTCAACATTATTCACATGTTTGGGCAGGAAAAAAAATTGCTGAATAGACAGATGGCAAAATTACGAATTTTTCCTATTGAATTCAACAACCAAAAGTGCATGTCAATGCTGTCATATGTACTTTCTATCTACATTTTATCAAATGCATTGACGTGGCTAAGAGTAAGTCACGAATTCCCAAAATTAATTTTTTTTTGAAATGCACTGAATGTACACAATCTGTGTCATGAAGGGTATAAGAGTAATTTTGATATTTGATACAATATTTTATTATACATTGATAACGTTCTTCTTCCCGAGTGAATGGGTCGGACTGGTCCAGGCTCTTCAGGTTCCGGTTCGGGGTGATGATTCCGTCAAATGACCTGCATGCAAGCCCAAAGGGGAACGGGGCAGTCCCCCAGTGAACCCTCCGGCGTGAGAATTAGTAGAGGAAGAAGTAGAGAATATGGAGAGAGGAATCAAGAGAGAGATAACTTAACCTTATTCTTGTCTTTCTATCCTTGCTTATATCATTTGGTCATCATTTCCCTGTCTCCTGTGACGTGCTTCCTTTCGCCGAAAGCCTGTGCCGTAGCTTACCTTGTTCAGGGTGATGGGGCTCTGTTCCGACCGGGGGGGGTTGTCGTAATAAATGCTGTGATGGGATGCATTAATGGTGATGTGTTGTGATAATAACTCTGCAGATCTTTGTCTGCTGATGTGGCCCGTGTCCCACCTGCCATGTGCCCAAATGCCATGGCCATCCATGTCTAGATGGCCTCTAGCTGTCCTAGGCTTTACCAATCGGGTTATGCCATTGGTCCCAAGCGATGGGTTTGGGGTGGTTTGCTGTGGGCCGTATGCCTTGTGGGCCTATCCGTGTCAGTAGTCCCCCATTTCCGAATGCAGCTTTAGCCCAACGAGGGGAATAGTAATAAGGAGGAGAAGTGTGAACCGAGTGGAGAGGCCGACTGGAAGCCGTGCTGAGCGGGAGGGGTCGACCGTGAGGCGTGCTGACCGCGAGGGTGGCCGAGCAGGAGGGGTCGACCGTAAGGCGTGCTAACCGCGAGGGTGGCTGAGTGGGAGGGGGCGACCGTGAGGCGTGCCGACCGCGACGGCGCGGGGCTCAAAAATGTGATGATGTGAAATGGAAAGGACAGGGTAAGGAGAGGGGACAGTGCATCGTGGCCATACACGTAGCGATATCGTGAGGGGAATGAAACGTTGGAGCGGAAATGAAACGATAGGTCACGAGGGGGGTTTTGAAAATGCGGTTTTGGCGGTTGATTTGAAAGGTTTTGAAACGGGCGAAAATTAATGTGGATCCATGGGATACGGGTTGAACCATGGGTTTTTGGTATAATGCGTTTCACCTACCTTTTTACAAAAACTCAAAATATCCAAGTGTTAATTCCTTCACTACGTACGACATATCTGTGTAGCATCCTCTCAACTTCCTTGCGTCTGCGTCAGAAGTGTTTTGTAAGCAAACCCTAGAAATGGCGCAAGAAGAAGTAGACAATGTGAGGGTGGACCCGCTGGGGGATGATGATGCGGAAGAGTTAGCAGCGCGATACAGGACGGAGGTGCGAATGGTGGGGGAAACGGTAGGAGAATCGCAGGCGTCGGTCCTGGTATTGGCGCCACAGGCACTAAGCCAGGTAGAGCCAGATCAGTGGCACACTAAGGCGGATAGATCCACACTCACGGCGGCGGATTTGGAGGTGATTAGGGGACGGTACCAGATTCCGGCGGAAATAGAGTTACGGCTGCCAACATCAAGGGAAAGGCCGTCTACGGTGAGGCCAGGGGAGTTTTCCCTGTACGAGGAGGCGCTAAAAGGGGGGCTGAGGCTGCCACTGCCTCAAGTGGTGGTTGACGTGCTAAATCGCCTGGAGGTAGCGCCGGGGCAATTGATGCCCAATGCGTGGAAGATTCTGCTGGCCTGTGCGAGTGCGTGGCCTAAGGCGAATGGGGGGGAGGCTATGACGATAGACGAGTTCTTCTCATGTTACAAGGCGTCGAGGCAGCAAGAAACTTGGGTCACGAGGGGGGTTTTGAAAAGGCGGTGATGGGGAGGGGATTGGTGGCAGGGCTGCCTACATCGATCAAGGGGTGGCGGCCACGGTGGTTCTTCGTGGTAGTTAATGGGGGGATGGGGCTACGCACCGTCTGGAAGGTGCCAACCCGGTCGATGGAGTCGAGACTGGGGGCGGTGGCGGAAGAGAGGGTGAAGAGAGTGAACGTGGCCTAAGGCGAATGGGGGGGAGGCCATGACGATAGACGAGTTCTTCTCATGTTACAAGGCGTCGGGGCAGCAAGAAACTTGGGTCACCCTACAGGCGGTGATGAGGAGGGGATTCGTGGCAGGGCTGCCTACGTCGATCAAGGGGTGGCGCCCACGGTGGTTCTTCGTGGCAGTTAATGGGGGAATGGGGGTACACACCATCTGGAAGGTGCCAACCCGGTCGATGGAGTCGAGACTGGGGGCGGTGGCGGAAGAGAGGGTGAAGAGAGTGAAGGAGTGGAAAGAGAAAGAGAAGGCCAAATGGGACGATCTTGTCCAGCCATCTGCACTGTTTGAGGCGGGGCTGGGACCGCAGCCGAAAGGTGGAGACCTCGGCCGGGCGGAGTTGGAGGAGAGGAGAAGAGCGCAGGAGGTAGAGGATCGAGCCGTTATGGCCAAGGCCGCGAAGTTGATGGAGGCGCAGAGGGACCGGCCGCCTCAACCGATCGCGCGGGAGAGGATCCGACCGCGCCCCAGGCCGTTGGGGGAAAAAGACTTAAGAAGCTTTGAGCCGCGGCCGCCGCCTGTAGACCCTGTAAAAGAAAAGGCCAGGAAGAGGGTGGAGCCTCTGAAAAAGAAGAAGAAGAAGAAGAGGAGTGACCCAGAGGAAGCTGCAGAGGAGTCTGGGGCCAAGAGGGCGAAGGTGGCCCCAACGAAGGTGGAGGTCCCTGTGGCAAAGGACGCCCCAGAGGTTGTGGAGATCATCCCAACGGTGGAGGTTGTGGAGATTGCTCCACCAGTGCAAGTGGAGGCTGGGGTGAGTGAGGCGGCGCCGAGCAGAGGGGAACAGGTCCAGAAGAGGCCTGACCCCCAGGAATGAGGGGTTCGTCTGGCTACGGTGATTTATCATGCGCGCGCGGTGGTTGGAAGGTTGGAGGGAGAAGAAGGCCCAGCTAGGGCGGGGGCAGACCGCCTGGTGAAGATTGTGGAGGAGGGAGCTCTGCGCGCGGCATCTGGGTATAATGAGGCCGACCTGCTGAGGGGGTTATGCTCCGCCCAAATGGAGGTAACTACCCTGTCCTTTCCATTTCACATCATCACATTTTTGAGCCCCGCGCCGTCGCTGTCGGCACGCCTCACGGTCGCCCCTTCCCACAGACGGCGCCAACTGATAACGTTCTTCTTCCCGAGTGAATGGGTCGGACTGGTCCAGGCTCTTCAGGTTCCGGTTCGGGGTGATGATTCCGTCAAATGACCTGCATGCAAGCCCAAAGGGGAACGGGGCAGTCCCCCAGTGAACCCTCCGGCATGAGAATTAGTAGAGGAAGAAGTAGGGAATATGGAGAGAGGAATCAAGAGAGAGATAACTTAACCTTATTCTTGTCTTTCTATCCTTGCTTATATCCTTTGGTCATCATTTCCCTGTCTCCTGTGACGTGCTTCCTTTTGCCGAAAGCCTGTACCGTAGCTTACCTTGTTCAGGGTGATGGGGCTCTGTTCCGACCGGGGGGGGTTGTCGTAATAAATGCTGTGATGGGATGCATTAATGGTGATGTGTTATGATAATAACTCTGCAGATCTTTGTCTGCTGATGTGGCCCGTGTCCCACCTGCCATGTGCCCAAATGCCATTGGCCATCCATGTCTAGATGGCCTCCAGCTGTCCTGGGCTTTGCCAACCGGGTTATGCCATTGGTCCCAAGCGATGGGTTTGGGGTGGTTTGCTGTGGGCCGTATGCCTTGTGAGCCTATCCGTGTCATACATTTTTTTGTAAAAAGTTTAAAGTTATCCCAAACATATTTCTTTTTTCTTTATACTTTTTTAGCCAATAAATAAAAAAATATACTTATATAGATTATTCTAAACAATTTAATATTGAATGAGCCCCCTCTAAAAAACAAAAGAAAAAATAGCAGTGGGCTAGACTTTCTCTATATAGTGGGTGTTTGGAAAGTGAGTTTTTTTTGTGGTTTGAGTATTTTAGTAAGGTAGTTTAGTTTGTGTGTTTGGAAAGATGAGATGAATTTTTTTGGGATTATTGTATTGAAAAATGTGTTTGAAATGATAGTGGAATGTAAATTGACCAAATTGCCCCTATTGCTATTTACTTGCAAATATTTGTTAATGGCCACGTGGCCACCATTTATATCACATTACAAATTGAAAGCAGATTTGACACGTGGCCACATTTAGGCCAAGTTTGGAAAGTTTCAAAAAAGTCAAAAAGTCAAAAAGTTACTTAAAAAATTAAAAAGTTATTACTATTCACCAAAAGTCGACAATTACGGCTGTACAACTACCAATTCTAATTTTTTCCCTAAAAACCAATTTTTACAATTTTTTATTACACATTTTTCCATAAAAAGTCAAAAAGTTAACCAAAACATTCATATTTTCAACCTCGAGTTTTTAGTCTAAAAAGACAAAAGTATACTTATTTAGGACACCCCAAACAACCCCTTAGCAATCTGTCAAAACACATGGTGCAAACAATTGTTACCAAAATAAATAAAAATGAATTAATTAATGAAGTTGTTGTTAGTTTGCCATATTAAAATTAATTAAAATTTTCATTTAATTGAAAATTGCATCTATTTTTCCAGAAAATAAAAACAATTTGTTTCTCAACATTTATTTTAATTTTCACATATAAAAATTAATTAAAATTTTGTTTGGTTTAGTGAATTTGCGCAAAATAAAAATAAAAATAAATCACTTTCTATCTCCTATACATCATTCAATCACTTTTTCTCAGTCATTTCTCCTTCTCAATCACTTTTTCGTTCACACACATCTATGCAACTACAATAAAATTATTTTCACAACTTCTGTACTCCAAAATTAAAATATACAACCAAACAAACCAACTAAATTTCTAAACTCTTTCCCCATAATTAATTTTCAAAATTTATCTGTGCAAACAAAACCAAACAATTCTTAAGTATTTATTCGAATATTTTTTTGTTCCAAAATATTTGTATCTGCTTAAAAATGAATGAAAAAAATACTACGAATTTTCTATTTTGATTTATCTTTCAAATTCATTAGTACTATGAAATATACAATGGGTTTAATTGATTTGTTTTTTAAAAAAATATAATTTCAGAAAAGGGAAATGGTGATTTTCAGATAATTTAGTTAAGTAAGAAAAGAAAATTTTACAAAAATAGACAAATGTGGTTACCAAATGAAGAGTAGTTTACTTATAGAAGCAGTTAATAAAAAGAGAGATTAGATAAATGAAGAGTAGTTTACACAAGCAATCTACATGTAAATAGTAAATGATAAGATTCAAAAAAAAATTTCGTTTGCAACACACTTGCATTGTCCGTACATGAATTACAAATTTAAATAATTTGTTACAGTCACATTACAATGCGGAAATACAAATTACAAATTACACAAACACATAAATTAGATAACAAGCATTTCACAATAGTCCTTGACTCCATATGTGAAACAAATGGTCACAGATGCGCACGCGAACTCTTGCCATATCTACATCCGTATCCCCAATCATGAGGCTATCATCCATATTTTGTCCTCATTCTGCGGCAAGCATGTCATCTGGAACAGAGGAACAACTGACATGTTCGTTGTGTGTATTAGCAGCTATCTCGTGCCTACGGATGAAATTGTGTAAGGCCATTGACGCACCAACCAATGGCACCTGCACCGTCGCAAAATCATAGTCGGACATATTGTTCAGGAATTTTCAGCGCGATTTCCACACTCCAAATGTTATTTCCACCACGCTCCTCAATGATGCGTGTGCCTCGTGAAACAATTCTCTTGGATTATCGGGTCGTCCACGATCCCGGAACTGTGCTTGGTGATACCAAGACCCTTTGTATGGTGCCAAATACCCCTTCTTGTTTGGATAACCCGCACCCACAAGGTAATATTTACCTACATTTGGTCAATCAATTTAAGATTTTGAACAAAATTAATAATGAGTACTTTATTTAAAATGTATTGCCTTCCTGGGGGTGTGGGAACGGTGCATGTTCGTTCTCAATTATTTCGTTGAAGATGCGACTGTCATGCATGCTTCCTTCCCAACCACAAGATATGAAAATGAAGCACATGTCGAAGTCGCATACTGTTAGTATGTTTTGGGTTGGATATCCTTTGCGACTGTAATATGTGCCGGCATCATGGGCAGGCAACACGACTTCTACATGAGTACCGTCCAACGCTCCAATACAATGCTGCACCAATAACGTACATTACATGAGGTTTACATATATCACTTAAAATGAAAATTAATCGATAACGGCAACTAATATGCTAACCTTGGAAGGCACATATTTCCCTCTGGATCGCAAATATGGATGCCTATTATTTTGATCTCTGGTGGGCTTATAATGCACTTCTGTGAACAACTTCATCGCTTCCAACACTACATGGAAATGTCGCGACACAGTGTCTCTCGAGTGTTGGAATCGTTCCTGAAGTTTTTGGTTACTGCAGCCGTCCAACGTATGGATGAACATCGCAACACTTTCTTCATTGTGTAATCCATGGGGTCTTGTAGGTACCTGTAAACTGAAGTCACTTTGCTATGTGTCACACAATGCTTGAAACATATACAACGACATATGCAAATTTTGTTCACGTTTGCCTACGTGCCCATCAAAATTTTTTTGAATCCAGGCACAATTGGTTAGAATAGAAGTTCGGCATGGGATCTTCTCCATGTACTTCAAGTAATATTCCATTGCATGTTGCGCAGCGTCACCGATTACGCTTTTTTGTAGGTCTTCTTATTCCTCAGCGAGTTCGATGATTACATCATCATAATTTTTATAGTTCCTACTTTGACCTTTCCACATTATTTGTTAATGAATCCTACAATGCACACAACACACAAATCAATTATCCAGTTGTAAACTAAGCACATTTGGACCATTAAAGTTCAACTATAAAATTGGAACACATCAACTATCCATTACATTACATTCAACCATTAAAGTGAACTATGCCAAAAAAGTAAAGGTTACACCATGATCCCATATTGTGCAAGACAAAAGTACGTACCGTTTAGAAAAGTGAAGTAACAGTAACTACAGTGCTGTGCAACCACACAAAAAAACAAAACAACTAAAAAAAGAGACCCATAGAACTAGTCCAAAAAAACCAGACTACATCAAAACCAAACAGGTCCCTTTTTTGCATAAAAGACCAAACCAAGTACTCACAGGCCTTTTGAAACCTGCAATGCCGCAAGCCAATCGACTACATTCTCATCATCTGGTATGCACATCAATATTTCCCAATAATTCACGTTCTCTAATGCAGTGCAGGAGAAATGGAACATGAGGGTACTGATGAAGTCCGGGATAGACATAAGTTGTTGCATACATGGCTCAATGCCATACTTCTGCGATGTACCAGTTCCGTACCTGACCGTCAGGTGCTTCTATGCTTTAACCGCCTTAGACAGATGGTTAAAACTATCCGCAAGCACCGATGCTCCACTAGAGACCTTTTTCGACTTTCCACTTGTGCTACCTCCATTTTTTCTCTTTGTCCCGGGGTCTGCTTCTTCAAGGTGGATGGTGGGGGAGTTTGGAGGTGAGTTAACGATCGGTCTGTATGGCTTGGTAAATTGTGCCAACCCAGGAGAGTTCACTGAGTCGAATTCACCTTCGCCAACATCCACAGCCTTCTCCCCCGGCGTCCAATGGTGTTTGCCAGTCGCAGTTGCACCGGTGAATACTTCGTGCATCAAATCTTCATGCTCCAATGGTTTTGTCTTGAATTTGTAAGCGATCATGTTTGTCTGCAAGTGAAAATCAAAGTACAATTTAATTTTTCCGTCACAGTGACATGGGACATTCAACGAACAAGTGACTTTCGCTTACATGTGTGTACAAAATTAAAGGGGCTAGTTTGACATAAGTTAAATGTAGTTTCTTTTTTATGTTGTACAATGTTCAAATTTGTAGTTATTTTGGATTGAAAGGGTTTGGAGTTAACGTAACATACATATGTGCAAAGTTTATGACAAATAATGAGTAATAACAAGTACAAGTTGCCAAAAAATCACTTAGAGGACTTATTACGTAAAATAAAAAAACTATATGTTGGTATATACCGATTTAAGATTGTCCCACCACTCCTCTGACGCTGTGAACAACCCGGTTTCCCTATCAAACCCAATGCCAGTCACACCCTTACTGCTATCCATTAACTTGTTCCAAGCCGGCCATTCCTTTTTCAAACTGTTGTACTTGTTCTTAAGCTGTGTAATGCCATGACGTCTACCCGTGCGCTTAGCAAATTTCAGTGCAATTTTATTATACCCTATTTTGGTTATGGTTGTACCTACCCGATGGCCCGCTAATATTGCGTCCCTAACACACTGTAGAAAGATTTATGTTGCTGCACTGTCCGAGTTCACCTTATGTGCATGATCTAAGCCATCAACAATGCTTTCGGTACCTGATGAGCTAACCCCTTTATTCTTAGATGGGGTGCGAGGGGACGATCGTGTTGCAACCATTACACTAATGTGAGAGGACGTATTGTACACATTAGAACGCAGTTGATGAATACATTTCAGACAATAAACTATGAACAATATGTAAAAGACAACTTCCACATTTTTATAAAAAGTAGTACGATAATTACTAACAACATGAACGATGACAATGCATTTACTTGTTCAAAATAGTACTCCTTCAAAACAGTACTTATGTACATTTAGGTAATGCTTTACGGGGTTTACATTCACAATAATAAGATGATGACCATGATGCACAACACACAAATCACCGTTTTCATTACACGTAAAGTATTGAAAATGTTCACGACATCAGCCCGTAACTGCATGACATCGGTTGACCCATAGTCATGGTCGGGGATCTATCTCCCTGATTCGTCACACCAACCAATCCAATTAACACATTGCTGATGAGTAAAAACCATAAAACATTTATTAGTTATGGGAATTATAATGTGCATATAACTGGAGTGACAAATAATCATTTGTTATAACTCACCACGGGCCGGGGGCAAACATAATATGCACGGTCAGGATTTTTGTGAGATCTGGATACCTTCACAAAACAATGGCCATAGCCACAAGCACACATGTGCTGTGGCCATGTCGATGTGGTAGTGGAAAAAGAGGAAGCCATATTACTACACACAGAGCAAGCACATGACTACAACAGCACCACATATTGGGGTTATAATTGCAATACACGTATGTTCGTTGAAATGTAACAGTTAATTTATAACAGCATAACAGATTGAAGGAATATCAATCTACATTTATAACATCCCATTTTTGTTAAGATTGAGTAAATTATTAATTAAGCTAACTTGAAAAGCTTTGGGCAATTCAAATGCATTGTACAGTTCACACTTGTCCATGGGAATTACATTTTTTTTTGTGTCGATCAGTTTCAAACATTTGTGTGCACTGGAAAAAACCCAAATGAACGTTGAATTTTTTTGTTTAAATCAATTAATTACTAATTCATCAAATCTATGTAAACTGGTGAAGGATACCAATGAGGCTCATATACAGGTAAAGGTCTCAAAGTGAAGATAGTAATACAAAAATATTCCAATACACAACAACATTCCAATACAAATTCCAATACAAATTCATAATGTAGCATAACAGATAAATTCCAATACACCAATTGTTACGACGCAATTATAAAATCTTGGAGAAATTGGAAAACATTCCGGAGGAAAAAAAAAAAAACACAAAAAGAATTAGAAAATGAATAAGGAGGGAAAAAACAGTATGGCACATTTAGCATACACCAAGAACCAATTTTGCAAGCAAATCCTAATAATCACATTGTAATTATAAGTCAGATTAGAAAATAAAAAAATAAATGAAGAGTATAAATCCAGAAACAATAGACAAAACGTCCCAAACATATAAATCTAGAAACATGAACTCTAAATCTATGACTGCCTTAAAATCAAAAAACAAAAGAAACCTAAACAGCACTAAAGAAAAAAAAATTTAAAATCTTATGGGCGATCAACGGAAACTCATTTGCTCAATCTTCAATTCTAGAACAAATTTCCCAACTCTCTGAAGCATTTTCGCATCCGTCGATCAATTAGGCCCCACAAAGAATTGCTTAATGAAAGCAGATTTATTTATTTTTTTCCAAACTAATAATTCATCAAATGTAAATTAGAAATTTTATTAAATTTTGATGAAAGCCAAATTTTATATATGAGAATAATTTTGGAAAAGAAAAATAAAAAATAATTTTGTCCAAGTTTTTTAATCTACACAGAAAATCAAATTAGGAAAAAAAAAAAAATTGGATGAAGACTGAGAGATGGACTGTGCCAATTAATTTTTTTTTTATTTTAGTTGTTATTTAGATGGCAGAAAGGGAAAAAAAAATGGTGAAGAAAATCTCAAGAAAACCCAAAATGAAGGAAGACGAAAAAGAGGAAAAATGGTTTGCTGAGCAATGTATTTTTTGTTGCACAGGACCAAGTGAAGATAAATAGGAAGATCGGTGACTGAACGATCAATGAAGAAAAAAAATTGCAGGGGAGTACATCATCATCAGTGTAGATCGGTGAAGAAAAATTTCAGAAAATGGTGTTTCGCAACCGTACCTTTGTATGTCCTCGACAATCGGCTACTTGGTCTTCCATAACAGCGCCGCCGGAGTGAGCCACAGGAGAGAGGTAGTCGACTCTGCTGTTAAATCGTCCAGGTAGAGCTTTAGTGAGAGATATAAGAGATGAATTTCATGTTTCGAAACAGGTAGAGCAACGGAGGGTAAATACGTCATTTTACCCACAAAATGCCATACAACTGGACTGCGCTTCTTCACTCAGCTACAGTGTGAGGTTTTGAAATTTTTTTCGTTGGTGAATAAAATAGACACCAACCCACGTTTCCAAACACCACCATAGTACCACAATAGTTATTAGCTTAAAAATAATAATCAGCGTGTTTGGTTTTGTTTTTTTGAAAACAGTTTTCAGAAAATTCTACTTCTTATTTTTCGTATTTTTTTTTAATTTTTAATAAATTTTTTAAATATTTTAAGCAATTTTTTTAATTTTTAGATATACCTAACATAAATATACCTAAAAAGTAAAAAAATTTGTGCAAAAAACCTTTTAAAAATTCACTAAATACCAAAAATACAAAAAAAATACGAGAATTCAGTACATTTTTTTTGTATTTTTATGTATTTAATAATTTTTTTAAATACTTTTTCATAAATTTTTTACTTTTTAGATATATCTAAGTAAAGTGCATCTCAAAAACAAAAAAAATGTTTAAAATTTTAAAAATATTCACTAAAAACAAAAAAATACGAAAACCAAAAATTTTCAAAAAACTTAATTCAGAAAACTCAAACCAAACACTAAATAAATTCGTCAAATCTAATGGTCAAGCCTAAGAGCTCGTTTGAGAAGTTGAGGGTTGGACTTTTTTGGTTAAAATAGTCACAAAAATTTAAAATAGGTTTTTTAGCTCAATAAAAGAAAACATTACATCTAACCTATAATCATTACATTCTTTTTTTTATAAAATGTCAAAAAAGTCAAAAAAAATAATTCCCAAACGAGGTTTTTTTAGTCGGGGGATTTGGTCATAGCCCCCTCGCTATCTAATTTCTCTTTCAAAAGGACATGAATTATATAAGTACTTTCAAAATCCCTTGATATTTTAAAACTTGTTTCTTTTATTATATTACCCTCATATCTATCAGTTCTCCTATTAAGACATTTTCACTATGTATTTCAGAGTAAAATTTTACTCTGTATGAAAGTAAAATTTTACTCTGAATGAGAGTAAAATTTTACACTCTGAAATAAACGAGGTTTTTTTAGTCTCAGGCTAAAATAGCCAAAAAGTCAAAAAGCCAACCCACTTCTCAAACGAATCCTAAATTAAATTTTCAGGCTTACTATCCATTTGTTTGGGCGAAAAATATCTTATGGTGTTTGTTAGAATAGAAAATAAAAATTAAGAAAATAAATTTTTTATGGTAAATGAAAAATAAGTTTATTTAGGTAAAAAATATTTTTTTATTTTTAAAAGGCAAAAATTTTTTCCAGACTAAATTTTTATTATTGTCACCACATCACCACCACTACTCTCACCTATACCACCATACCACTATCACCACGACCATTGCTACCATCACCGCCACCATCATTGCCGATGTCACCCTACTATCATACCCCCAACTCCACCTCCACCTCCACCTCCACCTCCACCAAATATACAAAAATATTTTTTTTAGAAAAAATTTTCGTAAAAAATATTTACCCCCTAAACAAACGGGCTATGTCAAAACCCATCGATATAGATAATTTGGGCCAGTCTTGAATCATTCATCCGAAGCCCATAACTATAAATGGGCCTAAAAAGTTTCCAGTTCAACCCTACTGGCCTAAAATGAAACCTTAAGCCTTATAAATTGTGGGCCGGACTTTGGGCCCATCTGTAGCCCTAGTTTAACACTTGGACAAAACTTGTTAAGACCAAAAACTGAAAAAAAAATATTCTTAATCTCTCAATTTTAGAGATGATAATCTTATGTTTTAAAAAAGGGTTAATTTCATTATTATTCCCTAAACTATTGCAAAATTTTCTATTTCATCCTTAAAATATTAATTTCATTTTTTAGTTATTTATGATAATCTCAACAGAAATCAGAAATTCTGTAATTTAAAATTACAACCAATTATATCTAATCTTACTTAAGCCATTGATTTAACTGATCTAATAGTTACAACAGTGCTTTCAAGAATGAAACTGATGGGAGTTTCTATTTTCACATACCACATGATTTTAATTCACATATTTAATTTTTAAATTTTTTTATTCAAAAGATAATTTTTAAGTCAATGAGAACCAATGAGTTTAGGTTTTTTTATTTGGAAATTGACTTTGGAACTAAAGATACAGCCTAACCAAATAGTTTTATTTAAAAGTTAATTTCTAAAACAAATAACTTTATTTGGAAGTTAATTTCTGAATAAAATAGACGTGCATACAGAGAAAAACTCAGTTGAAATAAAAGCTCCCTTAAATGATACTGAATGTCAACATTTCATTTGTAAAACAAAATATTCTTATGGCATGTTTGATTGGAAGGATTAGAGTATGAGATTGGGATTATTAATCCGCGGGCCCAATTAACCTATGTTTATTTTGACGTTTTGTTTTAGGAT